TGGCAAAACTCTTCCAAAACTCATGGCGCGTGGGGGAGGTCTCTCAAGACTGGAAGAGGGCCAGTGATGTGCCCATCTTCAAGAAGGGGAGGAGAGAGGACCTGGGCAACTATAGGTCAATTAGCCTAACTTCTATTCCAGGGAAAATCCTGGAAAAATTCATCAAGGAGTCTGTGTGCAATATGCTTACAGAAGGTAGGATTCTGAATGATAGCCAATATGGCTTCATCATAGGCAGGTCTTATCTTACCAATCTTGTCTCCTTCTATGACCAGGTATCTCACCACCTGGATAAGAGAGAGAAGGTTGACCTTATATACGTATTTGCTTTTCCACCAACCACCTCACCCGTATGATCAGAGACTTGCACAGCAAGCCAAACGAGGAAAGGCTGGGGGACTTGGGCCTCTTCAGTCTAAAAAAGAGGGGCTGAGGGGGTCTTGTTAGCAGCTTACCACTACATCAGGGGAATACATCAAGGGCTTGGTGAACGACTGTTCACCAGGGCACCCTTGGGGAAAACCAGGAGTAATGGCCACAAACTCCTGGAAGACCACTTTAGGCTCACCTCTAGGAAAAACTTCTTCCCAGTCAGGGTATCCAGACTGTGGAATAAACTCCTTCCAGAGGTGGTGCGATCACCTACCCTGGAGGTCGTCAAAAGGAGACTGGACAGTCACCTTGCTGGGATCACCTGACCCCAGTTGTCTTTCCTGCCTAGTGCAGGGGGGCTGGACCTGATGATCTTGTGAAATCCCTTCCAGCCCTTTACAAACTATGAATCTATGGAGTACACTGAATAACCATTAGAGATGTCTAAGTAGCTAGGCTTAAGATCCGTTCAGGTGTAGGTTAGATTAGAAGGGTTTCATACCAGATGGAAGAAATTTGAGGAAATCAGCTGTCCTTTGGAATTTTCTCCCATCTAATGCAGTTCTCATGAGATTTCAGCCACATGCAAATCACAACTGAAAACAAGCTCTTTTCAGTATGAAATCTGACAAAGAATAAAACCTATATGATCTGGTTTATACCCATGAATCATGCTCAGATTTTGTATTTCTGGTTTCGGCTTTCCTCAAATAACTATCAGTTTTATTTATATTTGCTGTCCACAGTCTTGACAAAATTCCTGTTTTCTTGCCCTGGCCTCAGAACTGGGATAGATCTTTGGCTGCGCTCTTGTCTTTGGATGTTCCAAAAATTCTTCCAGAAGACGCTTAAACTAAGACTCCCAGGAGCAGCTTAAGTGGAAAGTTGTCCCATGTGCTTTGTGTAGGGCTTGCTCTCTCAGTGTGACAGAGCAGGAGAGTTTACTAAATGTAATCTGTTGTTGAATGTCCTGTATCCAGTACTGAGAGCTGCTATCTCTGCTCTTCCAGGCATGTCAGTAAATTCCTTCATTTTGGAGTCACTTTATGGCAGGATCTTTATCTTACTCTGTGCTTAGAAAGTCCCAAGAATGTTGCAGGCTCTACTATAATTCACATTTCAATATCATCATCATTGCTACAATTCCATTTTTTTATACAAGAGGCAACTGATTTCTCAACTGCAGACCAGACAGATAGGTAACAGGAATACTACCAAAAGAGCTGAGGGGAGGAGACCTTGCCCCACACCTGTGTGGTTATTGTTACTCTTCTGGTTAGAGTGATACACAGGGGTCTGTAAAGTCTCATGCAGTATTCTGCTCCCCCAACTTACCCATTTAAAAAAACGAATTCCCATTGGAAAAAAACGTGGATTTAAATTACCAGAAATATTTAAAAACCTCAGCTGGGTGGGTAAAACCAAGCAAATCCACACGAAGCTGTGAAGGCTTGACAGACCTCATGAAATCCTTATTTCTCTGGTTCTTAGTTTGGGCTGGGGAGAGCCCAATAAATACCACACATTTTTCTGAGTACTCCAATCCATCTCATAATGTACAATAAGCCTGTACAGGCAATCTGGTACCAATCTGGCAGGCTACAGGAAAACAAAGGGGCTCACAGAATGGTTGTCAAACTGAGGGAATGTAGCCATTAATAACCCAAACTAGTTCTGTTAATCTTAGTGGATGCACATCCTTCCTGCACAGAAAAGCTTGCCTTAGTATTTTGTTGCAGCTTATATCTTTAAAAACACAATGACCCAGAAGTGACACTCTGCTCACAGGTAGTCACACCCAAGCCGAGTATGAATTATTTGAAGTACCAGCTTCCCAGCTTAAGGAAACATATCTTTCCTTATCATTTTCTATAAATAAAGCCTTGCTGTTTTCCTGACCATGTTATTCTTCTAATTCTTACCACAAGTACTCAGATAACTGAGATACAGTTCCACATTTATACATCCTCACTGCTTGCTTACTCCCAGCCTTCCAACTCCTTCACAAACAAGCCCCTTATGCCCTGGAGCTGTGGATTCCTCCTACTTTTAAGGATGACCCTCTGTTGACAGTCCCAGACCTTTACATCCTTACTGAGAAGTTCAGCATATGTGTTTGTCTTCCTTTTCCCTTCTGTACCGTGCAACAAGCTGGATCTGGATCTAACAATACACTCAAATGTCACTTGCGATAAACATTTATTTTTGGTGAGAAACATTATGTCTGATTATTCAACAACAGTGGAGTAGGCTGGCTGGGAAGCAAGGGGTGAGTACTGTGCCTGTGTCCATTGCTTGTGAAAGCCTCAGGCTTCCCATAAGAGTCACACTGTCTAGGCCTCCAGAGTCTGTCTAGCCCTCAGACATCTCAAGCATCAAAAAAAATGACAAGGGTGAAATGGTGTCCAACATCTCTGCTTTGTTATGGACCGCTCTGAAACACAGCCCAAATGTGTTGTGTGAAATCAAACATGACTCCACCTGTTATGCCACCAGTTTTGGAACATGGCTAAATTTTATCAGGAGATTGTTAGGATGAAGAAATTATGCAAAAAGCAGCTGTGCCCATGGACTGTTTTCTACCAGCAAATAGACAATGACAACATATTGACCTCCCATCTTCAAGTACAGTCTTGAGACGCATTCATCTCTGCTTTGAATCATGGCTGTCTTTCTAGAAACACTGAGAACTGCAAGGCATGAAAGGGCACCCAAGTGCTGTGAAATGTCTGCTATGTTCCCTATCACCACCACTTCATAAGGTCTCAGCTGCCTTAACCAGAAATTCTTGGGTGATGTTCTATGATTTCTGTCATGCAGGGGTTCAGACCAGAGGGTCATAATGGCTCATTCTGGCCTTAAAATCAATGAATACACACACAAGCCCACACACACACACACTTTTCCCGATTTGGTATTCAAATTTCAAGAATTACCACTTTGGGCTGGATCAGAAAGATCATAAGAACATTTCTTTCTTGTGATGCTTTATCATTAACATGTCAAATTCTAGGAGGAGCCTGGAAGTGACAAAGTGCATGAAGTTGCAGCCTTATAAAAGGGAAAAAAGGGTTTGCTCAACTTTTTTGAAACTCGGGTTTCAACTGTAAGTTTTGGACAGAGATTCCAGTTAACAGATGTTTTATTTTATTTGAACTCTTATTCACCCACCCCCACAACACACAACAGCTAAACATAATGACAAGTCATTTTGAATTCATGTTTCATTTCTTTAACACATAAATGGAATCTATTGCACCGTTGTGCAAAAGAGTCGGTTTGCACTATTCCAGTCAGAAGTGTCCCAAAGTTTGGGAGTGTTTGCATTCTTTATTTAGTTAATTTCCATCAGAGTTCAGTGCAGCTGTCTTTCTTGTTTGCAAACACAATTAGCTTACAAAGGTATTTTACTTGGAAGAGATGTTTTCTTCTCCATCCATTGGTATGATGTCATTAGAGTTAACAGGAGCTACATATATGTAGTGCAGAGAAGATGGACTCCTTGTCATTCTATAAGTGTTATTGACACCCACACTTAACTATACTTTCTTACCCACAGCATCAGAAATGATTAAACACCTTGTTTTGGAAACCAGGAAAATGCAGAACATAAGAACATTGGACTAGAAAGGACCTTCTGGGTCACTGAATCCAGTTCCCTGAAATCACAGGCAATCTCAGAACAAATATTTGTCTGCAAGAATAAAAAAAAATCACTCCATCCCTTCTCACACATTGCAGTCCTGAAGTAAACAATAACAAGGTAAAACATGCTCAGATGGTCCTTGGAAGTGGATTACATCCCACATTACAGAGAATGTAAAAATGCCTAGTGGTTCTTGCCAACCTGACTTGGGGAAAGTTCCTTCTGACCCCAAATCCAGCAATCACTTTAACTCTGAGTGTGTCAACAAGAGCCACCAGCAACACAGAATCTACTGGAAATAGAACTGTCACTCTTTGCGACTCTCCTCATCCATTTCTCTTAGCAACAAGTCTGAGTCACAAAGTTAGTCACATTCAATTTTTCCCAAGGTTTGAATATCCTTGAATCTGGTGTTTGGTTGTTGTCCCTTTTTCTATTTCCTCTGTGTGTAGTCTATTGTATTATAAAATGATAAGGAAGGTTGGATGGGTCATGGTGATGGAATAAAATACCATTAATAAATGGGTTTGCCATAACAATTTGCCACCTATTGTATACTGTAGATCAGAGGAAGCATCTCTATATTGGCATTTTTGGAAATGCAGTATGATTATGTAGTCTCATTATGTTTCTGTGTGTCAAAAGCTGCAGTTTTACAAGATGCCTCAGGTAGTTCTATAACTCCATCGGTCTTAATGCTCATAGAGGCATGTGAATAGACAGCAGAAGAATACATTTGATTGTCTATTATTGCTCTCAGTCAGTGTGTGGACAAGAGGTATGTACCTCTATGAGTCTGTCATAATTAGAGTTCTTATTTTATAATGGATAGGTATCTAAATCCATTTGTATCTGGGTACTTATTCATTCCATATGCCTCAGGCATGTTGCATAAAATATGTTTCATTATAATTATATGTTGCAGTACCTTAAAACTCCTTGAAACAAAAGGTGATAAAGAAAAGTTCACCAGTGCCCCTACCTGCTGGGCAGTTACATCTCTGGTGGGTTTCTCGAACTTCTCGATGTCTTGGCAAGCTGAACTTTAACTTCTGTAAAGAAAAGAAGTGGGGGGAAAGCATCATTAATAAGGATGAAAACCAAACATCAAGCATTTCAGAAAAGAGGAGTGGAAAGAAGCCAATCACCTGAGGTACAGTGAGAAAGGGATGCTTAGTTCTGGACTAAAACCAGGTAATTGGTTCACAGCCTTCAACTTCAAACCCATCATCTGCTTGATTGCAAGCAGGCAAAGATTATTATGAAATTCTCTCTAAGTGTTATCCTTATGGCCGGAACTAAACAGACAAGAGCTTGCCATGCTTATTGAAAGAGGTGACTATGCTGCCAAGAGAGGATTGCAATACTCAAAGAAAAAAAATCAGAAAACCTGTTGTGATAGATGAAGAATATAGAGATGAAAAAGGTCCTCCCCTCTGAGTGAGCCAGATCCTGAAGCTAATTATAATATCTGTCTAAGTAAAAGATCCTAACGTAGGTGGTATCTCCTTTAAAGAAACCCCAAAAAACCAGAACCCTTTTAGAAGTTTTAAAATTTTTGTTGTTGTTCCAGTGTGTAACATAAAAAAAGTTTGAAAGTTTCTGCAAGGGGGAATTCTGTTGAAATTTCCATTTCAGATCAAATAGATCAGCTTTCTGATTCTGTTTAGGTCTTTTTTCTCTCTGGAATTGACCATAGGGTCAACTCTGAACCTAAGAAAACTTCTCCATTGAAAACTTCATTGAAATTGATGCAACTCAGCCATCTATGTTTTTATTTCAATGAAATATCATTTTTGGATTAAAACATGTTTTTAAAAATTGTTCTGAATGCCTCTAGTTGTAGAAAAATGGGGGCAAATTGTATTCCACCTATTAAGTGTGTAAGTGGACTTAGGCACCAAGTCCAATTCTATTTCACTTTGCTTGGCTTCCTGATAATTCATTAATGCTTTTATAAACTGCCATTTTACCCTTCAGAATGAGTATAGAAAGCAGTGAAGAGGAGGAGGACCCACTCAACTTTTGGATTAACAGTTTTTCAGGTACTCAGGCAATGTGGAATAGGGCCATACTTAGATGCTAATTCCACTAATAGGTGGACTAGAATCCTAGTCCCTGACTTATGTCATCAACACGTCTATCATGATTTAGGGGGGAAATGAATCTAAGTTGGTTTTCCATTACTGAATAGATGCCCCATTTACCATTTTGTTGTCTTCATCCTGTTAATTATTTGAGATGCTGATATGCTAGTTAGAGAAGACTAAATGTCAAATAATGAACTGTATATATAGAGTTTGGGGGAGACGCTCCGTACCAATGAAGGACAGCTAACTGTCACATCATAGTCTCATGTTATTCATGGTTAATAATGGGCTAAAATAAATGTCTATGTTTAGGCTTGTCAGACAGTATTTAGACTCCAAAATAAGTGATCTGATTTCCAAAAGGGCAACATGTCCAAAAGCTGTAGGTGAAGCTTTTGTGCAGTCAGTGGTAATTAGTGGGTGATCAGTACTTATGAAAATAATTGAAGAGCCTAAATATGAACTCAGAAGCCTAACTACAGGCTCCTACTTTTGAAACCTTGGCTTAGAAAAGTGGAATATGTTATTTCAGCCTTTTCACTTCTATGTTTGTAACTCTCCAAAAATAGAGGTTCATATATAACTCTGTAGAGCTCGTTGAAAATTCTTCAAAGGATCATTTTCAGTAGAAAATACAAGTTTATTTAAATCATATTTTATACAATAATGTGTTCACTTTGATGAAATTTCACCTAGGAAAAAAATTAAGGGAATGCTTTTACCTTATCATGATAGAATGCTTCAAGGCAGAGATGGAATTAGGACTAGCTTCCCAGATTAAGGACAATAAGAAGTCCTTCTTTAAATACATAAGGGGTAAAAAGAAGGTCCTGGGTAATGTGGGGCCCCTGCAGGACGTGTTGGGAAATTTGGTCGTCACACCAGATGACAAAGCTAACATGTTTAACGATTTCTTTGCCTCCGTCTTCCTAAGTAGGGACCAGAACAGCCACCTCCC